TACTCCTAATACCTCGCGAGGCCATTTGACAGACCTTCCAGTCGATAAGGGCCCGGATGTGGCTTATCGCTCACTACTTGCGCATCGACCGACGAGCAAACGTCTGTGAATCTCATCCCACGAGGATTTTACCGAAAATGCTGGACTCTCCGCGGGACTCGATTCCTCTACTGCCGAGCGCTTGTTGTCTTACCCTTACAAGGATAAATCCAGCCAAATCGACCAAGTTACGACCTTTTCCCGTCGAAATGGCACGTGGTTAAAAAGAAATCCGAGGGTAACTTGACATCGGGATGTGTAATTGGGTAGAGCGCATGCTCGTTCTATTATTTCCATAATAGGAGGCTTAAAAGGAGGAAGGAGAAAAGCGTAATGAAAAAATGGAAGGAAAATTAAAGGGATAACGCACGGCAGCTCATGATAACCTAGTATAAGTAATCGAATGCTGAGCCTGTTTACTTATAACTTGAGAACTTCAATCGCTCCGTAACAATGTAATAACTATGCTTCATCAAAAGCGTCTCTCTTAATGGGCCTTTGACCCATCAAATTAATCATTTAAAAGATTTAAATTGTACAGGATGATACGAGAGAGTATAATATGATTATTCATCGCCGAGGAAATGATGAGCATAATTGAATTTCAAGGGTAAATTGGAGAAATTATCGAAGGATTCCTTAGAGTTAATAATAGATTGAAAGAGATTCGTTTTCTTCGCGAAATTACTAGTTGAGAGATGCTTTCTTTTACATATTAAAATGATTTCCTTCATTTATTATCTAAGGTATATTATAAACCTTGTTACCCAATTACCTAGTATTAGAGAAAATAATAGAATTAACATCCTTCAAATCAAGTAATATTATTACGAATAATATTTTTATCGTTCTATCATTATTAAATTTTTCAAATTATTAATACCAATGGTATTATAGGTAATGAGATTTGCAAATGGCGACTTAAATATTCACATAAAATTGTAATAATGCCAAACCAGATATACTTCCTATCAATTAAGTTTAGAACCATAAGCTTATGATGACATAAGGTGAAATAAAATTGTCCAACAGTTTTTCCAAATAATTAGAATAATAACTCAAGCTATTTAAAAATCATAAGCAAATTTTATTTCACCTTTAAAACAAAACCATAAGATGTTTTTAGGGTAATAATAGTAAAAAATGAATATTATTAGAATTTCAAATATAAGGATTTTTTATTGAATTTATGTACTTGTGAAAAAAAAAAAAAAAAGAAAAAAAATTATATAGATTCGTGTCAATTTCGACAAATCCTGAGTTTTTTTTTATACATAATTTTCAATGTAATAAAATAAAAAAATTTCTTTTCTTTTACGTTATTAAGAAGAAAAGAATATTACAAATATCTTAAAATGCTAAACTACTATATAATCTAGACCATACTTTATGTAAAATTTTTAAATTCACTAAAATTTACAACTGCTTTTTCCTCTTATTTAAATAAATTAATAAATAAATTACTCGAAAAATTAATCATATTACGATTACAATTTGAATAATTTGAATGAATCGACAAAAATATTATAATTATATATATATATATATATTAATTCGTAAGTTGTTCAAATTTTTGAAACTTCTAAGAAATCAAAACACGTCAAATTATAAGTTAGAAGTCAGCGAAACTTAGTCTCGAATAAAAAAAAAAAAAAAACAATAAAAAATAACAAACAAACAAATATATGTGCAATTGTAACATTTAAAGGAATAATAAAATAATAAGTCTAGTATAGGATTGTTTAATTGTCTTTATCAATGTAAAATTATATTGTAAAATTATACTATAAAAATTTTATGTAACACGAGCAATTGGTAAAAACGATTCTAAAAATTTAAAAAATTTTAGCGTTGTATTTATAAATTTCAAAATCCGTATATAGCTAAATGGTTTATTAAAGTAAACTTAAATGCATTTATTTTATATTTTTATTATGCTGAAATGATTCAGTTTAATGTATTTTTACAGAAAAAGAAGGCACTCTAAGCACCGAGAAACTAGATATATATATATTTTTTTTTTATTTAAATATTAGAAAAAGTAGTAGATTTTAGAGAAATAGAAATAAGGAAATGATAACAAGTAATATATTTGTACGTACATAACATAGTCGATGGTAACGTCATATAATAAATAATATTTTGTAAAACGCTGTATAAGTAATGCGTGTGTATGCCCAATAAATATATACTACATGTATGCAATAATGATATAGTTAATTATAAAATTAAGCTAATGAATAATTACAGAGCAGCTTAAGAGCTAAAAACACTGGAGGAGTAATCATCAATCAATTAATACAACAAATTTATAAAAATCGCCCAAACTTATTTTACATCATAAATTAGAATCAATTACCATTTTTACAAATATTCATAGTGTCCTATTTATTTTTATTACAAAATATTGCTTTTCTGAAACTCATATAATATTAACGCTTTATTATCTCCGAATAAACGTAAACATACAATTGGTCCCTGAATTTTTAAATTCCATCTCATGTATAAAAATAATAAATATTACGTATAATTTTCAGTTTTATACAAAGAAATGTCATGATTGCAATTAGATGAGATTCAAAGCACTATAAAATAGAAATATATATTTTACAGAGAATTTACTTATTTATCATGATTATACCTAAGTATTTTTCTTTATAATAATTGTTCGTATCAAAATTACAGCTAAATTACTAAATTAAGGTCTGTAACAAATTTTTCACAGCGTACGAAACGTATTCGTAAGTAAATATGCCGTAATGACATACAATTTGCTTGTATTTTATTCTGTATAATACAGGGTAAAAAAAAAAAGAAAAAAAAACGAAGAAGAATAAGGTTATTCTACAATATATCCTAGGATTACAGTAATTAAGAAAAAAGACGTACAAAGAAAACGTAGGAACTTAACAACGTCCACGTACGTTCGTTTTTTTTTTTTTTTTTATATCACAGCTAATAATTGGAAGCTTCTATCGTGTTTTAGATCACGTTAAAGCTATAATAAATAATGTTTTCCTTCAGTTTAAGTTCAGTTAAAGTTTCTTTAGGGATAAGTGATACTCTCCATTTCGTACACATCACGAAAAGAAAAAAAACAACATAAGGATAACGGAGCACTTCGTATAACCGGGAATTGATTACGTCTTAAACGATCCTGCATCTCTCATATGAACATTCTCAACTAGAAAATTTATAGTCTATTTTTTGATCGCTGGAACTCGCGGATAATTCGTATATATTCAAAAGTAAAGTAAAAATGTATATAAAATATTTGCGCGTTTCAGTGATTATATTAGATTAGATTTTCTTTTCTAGGCAAATTTTTTACCTTGATTATTTCATAAATATTCAGCAGACTTATGACGCATCGAAGTAGAACCGATAGAATAATTAAAAAAATTTCAAAATTTTCATAATCTCGAAAGTTTCTTTGAGGTACTGTGGGCCGGGTTTCACTGATTTTCTATTAAGAATTATGTATCTTCGCGTTTATTGACAAATATAATTTCGTAATGAAAATTCAACCGCGCAACTTGCGAACACTCAATTAGCTATTATTTTTGGTACGATACCGAGTTAATTTTCAAATTAGGTTTATTACACTTGAATTTCAAGTGAATCGAGTCTGTTTCAGCAGTTCAGCGACAACAATCAAATCTGCAAGTCGCCCAAAAAATAAAAAAAAATAATAAAAAAAAACAAAAACAAAAACAAAACAAGAGCTCTATTTATATTAATTACTCGAAGTTATATATAATACTGCTTGATCGCACTGAAGTAGATCACTTAATACTGTATATATCAAAATCTACAAAATGGTCCTTTCTTTTAAATTTTTTTGCACAGTAATTGGCCAGACCCTACAGTCAAGGAATATTTAATTCAATTCTTATACTTTAATAACCTAATGTTTCGTTAGAACTTCGTAAAATACATTTTAACATAGCGTGATCAAAACTGTGCAGTAAATACGTAAAAAATCTAACTCGTAGGGGATAGATTGTGAGAATATTCTACATCGAACATTCATTAAAGTAAGCATTTTTTTTATCCCATCACACACCCACCCACCCACACCCACCCAAACACGCACACGCACACGCACGCACGCGCATGCACGCACATACACACACACAAACACACACGATTAAAATTTGTCCCACTATTTTTCTCTCTTATATTGGATTAAATTAGTAAAAATAGCCTACATAACACCTCCTTTGATCACGTATATTTCGATTTCCAATATGATATGTCATACTCGACGATTGCATTTTTATTTGCGATACAGCAAAATGGCCTGCATTGCTGCAGTAAACTTTTGAGAAAGATTAGAAACTTTTTAGAAATGATATAAATACAGTTAGTCGTTATTCTATCTGAAGTGTGATATCTTTCGTAAAAGTATGAATAAATTGCCTCGGCCAAATAAGCTCTCGAAAGAAAATTTAAATACTTGGATCGAATGTAGATTAAATCAACTAAGCTCTTATTTTATTTAACTTTCATCGTCAAATACAAGTGGAGAATTTAACTTTTCATTCAACTTGCTTCAAACTTTCGTTATTCAGAGCGGCAAATCTAATGAGCAACTGTAATCCGTGAGATTAAAGCCAAAGAAAAAAGAAACAAAAACAACAACGACGACGACGACGACGACGACGACGACGACGACGACGACGATGACGACGCGCGTAATAATTGAGTTTGATGTGGCAAATAAAAATGCAATCAGTCAGACGAGGAGCGAACTTTTTGGACAATTTCATTGCGTTTATAGTGTTTTTGTCGGGTGTCAATCAGCGTGCACCGATTATTCGGCGTTGGTGATCTCATCAGCGCATCAAGCTCGACGAAGCTTCGCTCCTTACGCCTCACAAGACCTTCAGAAGACTTTCTTCTGTTTCTTTCTAATAATCTTCTTCCTTGATAGTCTCCTGGCATTCTGCGCGAACGCCCGGCGTTGCTGGTTCTGCTTCCGTTGCTGGTGCTTCGGTTGGTGCTTCCTCGCCCCTTGTGACAGTTTTATCTTGAGACGTTTCGCGTTCTGCGTCGATTTGCTCAACTTCTTCGGCTTGAAGTAGCTCATCAGTGGCCGAAGCATCGCGGGATCGCAGGTTCCAGGTCCAGTCGCAGTGGCGTTACGTAACGCTCGTATCCAGTCGTTAAGAAATGCCTGGTAGAGACGCAACACTCCGGAATCCTGGATTAGCATGAGGGTGAGGTCGCCCTCGCGTGCCCAGTTCGAGCTTTCGGTCACGATTACGGATTTGTGACTTATGGGTAATGGGAGGCCCAGGTTCAGTATTGCCGTTTCCACCTCGCAGAGCATCTGCAATGAAAACCGAGGACGTTTACAATTGTTTTACAATAGTGTTCATTTTACCATTCAAATGTGAATTAGATACTAGGCATTTTTATTATTTATCCTTAGCGACAATCGATAGCTCTTTCGCCTGTCACTGTAATAATTTCAGAGAGAGAGAGAGAGAGAGAGAGAGAGAGAGAGAGCGGTAATATACGTAAGATTGTTTTTATCTTGAGGTATTAATGACCAATTATATAAATTTATCGTCAAATGTAATCCAGGTGAAAATAGCTTCACGTAAATCATAAATGCAATTAAAATCCCAGTATTGTTGTAATTTCCTTAAGCGCTTGCTTATGACACTCTATGTATTAATTATGTATTTTTATCATTAATATTTTGTCGAGCGTTACGAATATTAGCGAGAGAAATGGAATAAAGTATAAATAAACATAAAGCTTTTCAAGGTATATTATTAATGTGGCTCATTACGAATCCCTGAAAGTTATTTAAAAGAAAACGTTCGAGTCTTATTAGCATACAATTATCTTATTATATTTACAAACATTGAACAATCGTATAAACAATGATGAAATTAATAATATTTCCCAAACATTAATATTAATAATGGCAGTAACATTTTATTTCAGATAGAATGAAAAAATCCATGAAAAGTACCAAAGAATATGAAATCATTATAATAAAAATTGAACCATATGTGAGCATATTTAGACATGAAATTAGCTTAACAAATTACATCATGTTTATACACGTCTCGTAAAACGTCGGTGAGCACTCGTATATTTTGTTGACAGGCAACTAATATATACTAATTGAAACTATTTCAAAATTAGTCGGTAAAGCAAATATGTTAATAGAATCTTTAAGACTTGTCATTGAACGTACTTTTATGTATTCATAAAAATGAAGATTTTAATAAAATGATGCTTTTCATTTTATTTACATAAAATTATTTAATTATTATTTCTTTAATCGTTAAGATTATCGTTAACTTTAAACTAGTGACGATGCATCATCGCCAATTATATAAAACATTACTTCATCATTATCTACAGCAGTAGTCAGATAAAAGAATTATTATGCATAACATAATATTTATTAGAAAGTAATGTCAAAGCTTTACGACTCTATTGCCGAGTTGGTATTTTAGAAGAATATTTTAGGTTGTATTTTAGTTTATATGGTAGAATAAAGTGTCCTTATTGAATGACATCGATTCCAAAGTAACTCCCCTCCCAACTCGAGAAAGTTTTTCCTACGAAATTTATTCAGACATTTTTTTAATGACTGATTCTCTCTCTCTCTCTCTCTCTCTCTCTCTCTATCTCTCTCTCTCTCTCTCTCTATCTATCTATCTATCTATCTATCTATCTATCTCTGTATGTATGTCGAGACGCAGGCCACTAAACTCCCATTGTCATTTCAATCAATTGGATCTTACCGAAAGAACAACATTAGCCTTACAAATCAATATGATGACGAAATTGTTAATCGAACGCAAAAACTATCTTTGCCCAGCCATGTAAAAACAATTTCTCGTACTGCGTCAGCTCCCCCATAAACACTCACCCTCAATATCTCGCTGCTCATGCCATCGATAATCTCATTTCGCCTGATCATTGTCATGTCGGCATTGATATTGGACTTGAGCCTGAAAGCCCGCAAATGGTGGAAGGTGATGGCGAACCTCTGGAGCGCGTCGTGGAGTCGTGGCAGGGCTCGTTCCGCTTTCTTGCCCTTCTCCAAGCACCAGACCTCGCGATGATACCATTCGAGCTGCTTCTCCGGCAGCCAGCTCATCCGGTACTGCTCCTTCAGCACTTTATACACCTGCGCACGGAAGAGGATACTTAGTTTAAACTATTAAAGAGGGCAGAGCTGGAGGCGTGTCCCGTTCCCCATGCTGTCATGGAAAACTGAGATACTCTACACGTTCCTCTTCGTGCTTTTCTTCCGCGTGTTAAATTCACGCTTCCTCGAACTTTAAGTGGACACCCTATGACATATAGCTACGTATATAATGAGCCACGCGATGAATCACCCAAGGGAATTAAACTCCTTGTTAATGTGGGTCGCGCATGATAATCTGACGTACGTGAATGGGGCTGGTGGTTTAGGGTGGCGAGAACGGGAAGACAGGAGTGTGAAAATATACAATTCTTTTCTTTTTTTTTTTCTTTTTCGATAAAGGAGAGATGTGTAGTTTATTTTCGCGATATCATGACAAACTGCATCGTTTCCAGTAGGCTTTTAAATATTGGGAATATTAGCACGTGAGCCATACGCAATGAAAAAAAAATTATTCTCTATTAATAACTCTTGCAAGAGTGGATTACACTTTAAAATTCACTAATATTCGTAATAATAATGATTAATTGTCTTTAATTGACGGGGCGTTTATTTATTTTTTTTTTTTTTTGCTCTCGTAAGCCCCGATTGACGATAATTAATGCTACGACTGATTAAAATAATATTTTCATGCTCAAATCAATAATTTCGTATGCATTTAAACAAGGAAATTAATACGTCTATTAGTCATTAATTGCATTGGAAAGTAGTAGTTGAAGAGTTGAATATGAATAATAAATTTAGTTGAAATTCACGTAATGAATGTAATTCATGCGGTTATTGTATTGCAGCCAAGTTGTAGAAGTTTCGAATTAGAGGAAAATACAAAGAATGTAAAAACATCCACTGCGTGTAAAAGTTGAGTCACATAGTGCTAATCTCTTCAAAGTAATATTAATGCAACGTTTGTCTTCAATAACACAACTAATTCCAAAACTTAAGTACACATTCATTATATATTAGCTAATAGGCAATTTTCTAGGATATTTCGAGTACCGTTAACGATATTAATGTCATGTAGAAGCTAAAAATTTTATAAAAAAAGTTCTGCATAGCCGCGAGAAAAATGCAGAGTCGCGTGATTGGGATCGATGGCGCTGCTAATTAATGGATGAAAAATAGAATAAAGTGCCGCGACCGATACTTGCTCGCTCTTTAGACAAAGTCCGAGCCTCGTTTTCTCCCTTTCATTTTTGTCGGCCAATCGTAGGAAACGCTTGCGCAGCAAATGATGATATAATTATTCTGTGACATAAACATCGCCGCGCGTTCCCATGCGAGCATCAGCGAATCTAAAAGCTTCGACGTGTGCGCGAACATGACAGATAAAACATAGCGATTCTTGTAAGGAAAACATCGGGCAGCCATGTACCCCTGAAGAAACTATAGATGTTAGTTGATACGATTGTTTCGTCTACTGTAGCGCGACCTGTAGATACTCATTTCTCGTATGTAGGAGGAAAAGAAAAGTAGAATCTCCCGTACCGCGGTCCTGACAATGTAACTGACAACCGAAGCAATTTTCGCTATATCCCAAACTTTGCCATATATCACGATCTCACGCTCAATATATATATATATATATATATATGCGTCTCCAATTATATTTTACATGCCGTACTGTTAATTGAAACTTTTGTTCCCTAAAAAGACTACAATTTTATATGCCTTTACGTGAATTTTAACATGTTTAAAGTAAAGTTTTATAATCGCTCATTGCTATTAGGCATGCATATTACATTAGAAAACTTGAAATAATAAAAAAAATTATAATATACGTTTGTGTAGAATACAATTTATTCCAATAACTAAATTAATTAATCATTGCGTGATATATGGTTGTACGTATAATTAGCAATGATTAATTTAGAATGCAATAATTATTTTGAAAGGCAATTTATATATTTTTATAGTTAAATGTTTATTGATGCAATTATACTTTGTAATTTGCTCAAGTTTTTCTTTACTCTTGATTAAAAAATCATTCCAAAGTTGCAATTTTGTTTTTCTATAACAATCAAAAAATTCATGACTCGAAGTGGAAAAAACCCGTTGTAAATTCAAAATATTAACGCTACAGTTGAAAAGATTCCATGAAAGTTTTACTGTAATATGGTGATTAATAAGACGTGATTGGCATTCGCAATTTTTCGTTTTTAGCGTGAAATAAACGACATTTATTCAACACGACCCGAGCGAGCAAATATAATTTAAAAGTAGAGTAACACACGAGCGATTACTTCGATTAAAAAATCTATCTATCGTATTTGTGAAATTAATTTGCATTCGTGAAAAGTACGTTATTATCGAGTAGTCATTTTTAAAAAATGTAACGATACAATAAAAAGTAAAAAGTAGCAAATAAAAAAAAAATGTCTTTTTAATACTTTTTCCAATACATAATCATATGTAAGCTACAACGACGTAATAAATATTCATAACAAAATCATTGGAATTTCAAAACGTGTTACAAAATATATTACCTTATAATATGTTTCTACAGTATACCACGTGATCTTTGTAAATCAAGCCGCGGGAGCAATCGATCATAATCACTGTGCTCCCGCTAACAACAAATTGATCGACGATAAGATAAGAAAGCTGTAGAATTTGGATTATTGACATAAACATAGAGCGAGACGCAAATATCGAGTGGTAATTGGAATGGCAATCGG